ATCACGCACTACTAATCTAACTCGTTAGAATCACCGAATATGAAACATTTAACGCTGTTTTAACGCGTTAATCCGCTTACCTGTCGCGTTACAATTTTAAACTTTTCCTGATTAACTCGTTTTAACCTAACTTTTAATTTTTTGTAATGAAATTGTGTTTTTAACGAGTTAGGATTAATTTCGAGACATTTCTGGTCTCATACAAGTTCAGAAGATAACACGTTTGCACGCATTCCAGACCATTTAACCTGTGCGCAAGCGTTAAATTATTACTTGTTTTAACGCGTGCTAACCTGCGTTAGGGTATCAAAAATATTTCATGGGTACAAATTGATGCCCGTAATCGTTACTGCTAAATAGAGACTATCGATAAGAGATAAACCAGATACCCGTTTAATTTGTTACATACGAAATCATAGCTCGCACAAAAGTTTGTATATGTGCATATGAGTGATTCTGATAAAAATAGTACCGTTCGACTGACGCAAATGGTCCTAAGCGTTTCTCCTCTCAGACTACATGAAACAATTTCGCATTTCTCGCATATACTCGTCAATGTTAGACCTACCCAAGCATGAAAAAAGCTGCTAGCATCGCTCGATGCATCCAGATGCACTAGATACAGTGATAGGTGCAGCTAGCTGCATAGAAAAGAGAGAAAAGTTGAATCGAGCATCGCTCGATGCAGCTAGATGTGGATGATGAACTGCTAGATGCATCGACCAAAAGATGATGGATATTTTTAAAGAATAAATAAATAATTGTGCATCTAGTAACAATCGATGCAGCTAGCTTCATACATCTAGCTGAATCTACTAGCGCATCTAGTATCTAGTGAAAGTCGATGCAGCTAGCTTCATTTGATAGATGCACTAGTAGATCCAGCTAGATTCATTAAGCTGACTGCATCGACTATTACTAGATGCACAGTTATTTATTTATTCTTTAAAAATATCCATCGTCTTTTGGTCGATCCATCTAGTAGTTCGTCGTCCAGATCTAGCTGTATCTAGGCATGCGCCAGTTACAGTTAACTGTAAAACTGTAACTGTCATAACTGTGTAACTGTTATAACTGTAACTGTCAAAACTGTAACTGCTCATAACTGTAGAAATAATCGTAATCGTAATTGCAATGAAATTACGTGAGTTGTTTTTTGTTTTTGGACCACCACGATTGCTTCACAGTGATAACGGACGTGAGTTTGTTGCTAATGTGATAATTGAATTGAAGAAATTGTTTCCAGATTTGGTTTTTGTCAGAGGTCGACCACGTCATCCACAAAGTCAGGGATGTATTGATTCAGATTCAGATTTTTGGAAACTAGTTGGACAAAATGGAATTGATGATGAAGAAGATTTACCAACACCAGTAGCTGAATCAGATAACGAGATAGTGGATAATAAAAGAGATGATACAATTAATTCTGCTAATGTTATTGATAGTGATGTGGTTAAAATTATTGAAAAATTGTCTGATGATGTTGTTTCTGTCGATTTTCCAATTACAAATTTTGTTGATCCAAATGCGCCATCTAATTTAAATAAGAACAATTTACGTGATTTAATTGAGGAAGTTGAATTAATGTTAAACGGTTCTGATACCGATCATCATGCTTCTTCATCTAACAGTCGTATACAGTCAGCAATAACAACAACAACCGCAACAAATAATGATCTTCTTACACCTACTTCTACTCCATCAAGACATGATCTGATACGTAAAACTGCCACAAACAGTTATTTAGCTACAGCAAATAAAAAAATGAAACAATATCAAGATAGTATAAATAGTTTAACAGAAAAATTTAATTTAAATGATTGTGTTGGAGTTCCAATTCATACGGTTGATAGAACAAATCTTATGTATAAATTAGCTTGTCAATATGGTAAATTAGAAAATACTTTCACAATTGAACATTTTGTTGATTTAAAATCGGCATGTCCAGAAGAGTTAAAACAACTTGTCATACATGATTTAAAAGACATTACGATGATTGAAGCATGTAAACTTTATGTTCGTGGATCGACAAATGGTCGTACATGCGACTGCAAAGGAAAATGTGCTACGAAACAATGTCCATGTAAAAAAGCAGGAGTTTTTTGTTCGACAAAATGTCACTCTAAACGAGGAGCTTGTAAAAATATGGATGAATAGGTTAATATCCCATGAACTGTACATACTGTGAATTTACTTTGATCACAAAGATATTGTGAATTAAAAAATTAATGTAGATACTCTGATTTTCCTTAGGTTCTGTTTAAATTGCGTATTTGTTATGATAAATAATTTAAATATAATGAACAATAAATCTAGATAACTTTTCAAACAATGGAAGAACTCTAACGTCAAACTAGCTGTGGTTTACTTTATGGAGAAATTCAGATTTTAACGGAGAGCACCAACCTTTTACCTTTATCAGCTGTAATCTCTTTTACACAGGAAAATTCTAATTTTGTCCGGACTCTCATGTTTTCAAGTTGATCAAAATTGGAATTCTGATTTGTCCGGAAGAAGTTAGAATTCCAATTCTGTCCGGACAAATTCGGAATTTGACCGAATTCTAATTTTGTCCGCAACATATATATATAAAATTCTATATATGATATGTATATTCTGACGCAAAGTGGATCAGTCACATCAAAATTTGACCAAATATTTGTAGAGAAGCGATCCTAGAGATTATTACATATTCGGAATCGACGAGTTACGCTGTATGGTGCAAAGATCCCGTCGGAATTCCGACAATTTTTGGGCCCGGTGGCTCCGCTGTAAGCTTCACGGTATATTACATTATATTCCACAGCAGACATCAAACACACTTCATTTACTTTTCTTTGATCTTATTTTCCGCCTGCTTCATATATTTTTCTTCTGTGCTCGTGGATTTTAAGTATGTTTTAGGTTATTTTTCTTAAAGAGCAAAATAAGAAAAGGAAAAAATTGTATACTTCTGTCGAGATGTTCATTTCTTCTATGTTCAAAAGAAGCGGTGAATTTATTCTATATTGTGCCAACTTCTCGAATTAAAACTAAACTAACTAGAGAGAACCCATTTCCATGTTTTATACTAGTTTGACGTACACAAGTTGTACTATATTTTGATGTATTTTCCAGAAAAAGATCCCTTTTAGTTTTTAAGATATGTGGCCTCAATATTGGTGATTAACGCTTCAAAACCCATACTTTCTTCCCAGAGTTAGATAAACTCTTTTTGATTACCATGACTTTCTGACTTTCTCCTGGATCGTTATAGTTAGATTAAGTGTTACCGCTTTACTGATCCATACTTGTCTTGTCCTCTTTGTATAGAACTAACCAGTAATTATCAAGTAAATTTATGAGGAAGTTAAAAGCAAAATAATCAGAGAGAGTGTAAAAACACGAAATTATTTTTGTAGGAAACTGTCACTCTCTTCCTTATGGATGTAATTGACAGATATTCGATGAAAATAATATTTTTCCTTCTCTTATGTTCGGAATATAAGAGAAGGAAAACTAGTTTGTAGAGGTTTTTTTCTTAAACTGAGTTTAAGAAAAAAAGTTCTACAAAGTAGTTACTTTAGAACTACCTTTTCTCTCGAATTTGTACTGATAACACACAGTTAATGAAAACGTCAGTTTTTCAGCGCTTCCGAGAGACTTGCTGAAAAATCTGCAGAAACCTTGTGTGAAAATTATGACAGTAGACATCTTGGGCTATCCAATAACGTGTTTTGCTTAATATTGAGATTGTTACAAAACTTTGCTTTTAGTATTATCAGTATGTTTCTTTATAACTCTAATAAAATTTAATCGAGATAACCCTGAATTTCTCTTCAAGACTCGATAAACTACTTCGTAAACTTTGAATGGATCTATGGACTTTACGGGTATATAGAATATATTACGATTAATCTTTATTGCCTTAGAGAGAGTGTAAATACGACTTTATTCTAGTATTTTATCGAGTCTTGAAATGAAATTTAAGGTTATATCGATTTATTAGCGTCATAAAGAAAGCTACTATTAATGTTGTCAAATTTCATAGTAATATAAATAAACACATTCTGTCAACTGTGTGTGGTAAATATTTATAAATAATTGTGGTAAATATTGCCACAAACAATACCATATTTTTGATCTAATCTTATTCTGGTGTTTCATTTCTACTTTATTTCATTTTCTACATAAAACTAATGTCATTATTCACTGAACAGATAAAGTTCGAACACACATTATCTCTGATTATTATGATCCGAAGAGAAAGCCGGAAAATCATAGTAGTCAAAAAGAGTTCTTTTAGCTGTTGAATATAACAGAAGAAAGTATGATTTTTAAACGTTAACCACCAATTTAGTTACAGATGTTGATGCATTCTAAAATATAGAAACATTGCTTTTCTGTCTATCACCTCATCTGTAAAGAAAAAATGACTACACGTTGTATGTTTATGCAATTACAAGGCAGTTATGTATAAAATAGTTCTAAATTATGTTATATCGTACCTACACCGACTTAATCGACGGAATAGGAAAGTAAAGACCCACCGATTGGAATATATTTTAAAACGCTTCCCTCATCTTCAATCTAATTGATATATTTTGACGGGCTTGTACGAAACTAGTTAAGAGCTTATCAACAATCTTGTATAATTGTACTCTATCGGATTGTACACGATTTATACTCGGACAATCTTACACATATAAATCCTCATACACCTATTTACGATGGCAACAGAAAATACATATTTTTCTCTGCTGAAAACATAAAATTTCTTCTCTTCTCACTTTCTTGCTTGATGTCATTTTTCTTTTTTTTTAATCTTTTTTCTTCTGTACGCATATATAGATAGATACATGCAAAAGACAAGAAAGTAAGAATGAATTTTACATTTTCATAGAATTTTCATATAACAGGACAGCACTCACTTTGAAATTATCCTTCATTACATCAACTTTACAACTTAAAGTACAATTAACCAGAATATACTTAACTGTGGTTTTTGCGTCCATCTGAAGTACACAAGTTAAACTCGGCTCACCGATCAACTTTAGTGAATTAAATTGTTCTTTTTAATTAGACACACATTTCGCTGTACGGTTCCCATTAGGCACAGAGCCTAGTTTGAATCAAAACGACCCTCGTCTTAGTAAATCTCTCTGGTCCGTTTCCTATGGGAATTTCGGAATAATTTTTAGATCATTAAATAGCTAAGACCTTTAGTTAAAGAAGCCTCAGATTCGGTGAAAATCGATTCAAACCTCACTGAGGTACTAAAGTTGCAAGCTAGACAAATCTGGTATCGGTTCCAATTAGATACTGTACTCTATGTGTTTTGATATGTTGATAAAAGAAAAATCTCTTGACACACAGTGATTAACTGTTTTTGAAGAAGTAATCCAAACAATTAGAGGAGAAAATGAAGCTTCTGTGTACGTTTAGATAAAACTTATTACAAAATGAAATGTTGTGTAACAGCGGAATACAGGAATAGTTGTGGAATAGAGCAATAAATGAACAGTGACCGATCGACCGGAATATATTTTGAAATACTACCTAAGATCAAAGCATTTGCTTGCGATGAATCTGACCACGCAGTGATCGTTGCTACACAGGACGTCGAAAACGGTGTAATTAATTGCCAATTAAATTCCATTTAATACGCTGTTAATAAGCATTTAAATGGCATTTTTATGACATTTGACCCCGTTTTTAGGCCGTTTTTTTTGCCATTATAACTGGGAACGTTTAAATGCATTTATTTCGCATTTTTTTAAATGTCCAAAAACCGTCAAATAACAGGCATTTAATTGCTGCCCGTAAACCTACTGGTAGCACTTTTTTGCCATTTAAATATCAGTTGTTAGACCGTTAGAAAATGTCAAAAAAATATCTTCTGATCCTGAGGTACTATCACCTATATCGAGTCAAGAACCGCAGACCACTTATTCGAGGCAAGTTTCTATGACTCATATAATTGAAGAAGAGAAACACTCTAAATTATTTTAGGAAAATAAGAGTCATTTATACTATTCAGGACGACAGAATAAAATGCTGAATGACTTTGTGACCATAAACTGGCTGTTAAATGTCATTTTACGCCCAGTTTTTTGCCATTTTGAAATGGAGAAAAAACGGACATTTTAACGGCCACATTTATTTGACATTAGTTAACGCGGTCTAATAAATGGATCAGAATGCCATTTAATGGTGTCCGTAAAATGACAATTTTTCGGACATTGCCTATAATCCGGCATTATTTTCACCGTTAAAAAACTCAGTTCTCTACAGTTCTTCTCCTATTATTTCCGTAAAAAAAGCGGAGCAAAAGCGACAACACAATTTGTGTTGGGTACTTTCAAATTTGCTCTTTCTTGTGGTTTGTAAAAAGACTTTTTAGAGCAGATGATGTACTCGAGAATCAAGTTTCAAAAATATGTCAAAAATCGACAACCCCGTTTCTAACAGTGTACCCAACGAGAAACGGAAAGCGTGATCGAAGTTTGGATGTTGCAACTAGGTAGAGAAGAGCAATCATTTCTGATCGAAGCAAAACAAACTCGATCGAAAAGCGTTTTGATGAAGTTACGGGACTTTTACTGAAAGCACCACCATATGAATCGGGTTCACGGTTGATTTTTCTTTTTTGTGAAGCACATTTCTAAGCTTATAATATTCTTACTAGATGAGCTAACGGGGTCAATCAATAGTCATCTTGTAGAGCGTTTTTTACTGCATCTTTTCTTCATAGAGACAAATTTACTATCACTTGTTTCACTATAGAAAAATTTATTATTCAAATCGGGTTAGGACTTCTGGGCCACACTTTATATTAACACTTTTTTGTGCAATATTGTTTTCATATAATGCAAGATATATGGATAGAATATGAAAGGGAACGGAATTACCATTGAATGAAAAACGGAAAATTACTTTTGAAATGTTTTTCATTTGTTAGAGAACGGCATGGAAAAGAGAACGGCTTTTTATCTATTTCTAAAAATACTGAAAAGAGAACGGTTAAAATATTTATTTTTCAGAACATCGAAAAAAGAACGGATTTGCTAATATCTAGAAGGATCTTCTTAAAGGAAAAGTATTACTTAATCACGCGACTACTCAACTACCAAATATCCGCTGGCCATGCAGTTAGTTACTTCATACATAGTAATCTGCCCAAGCAGGAAAATCACACTACGTAAACTTTTTACTATACTATGTCACGTAAGAACTGGACTGGATTTTTGAAACTCTATGCAAATCACCAACGTATCTCGATACTGTGTTGCTGAACCATATGGATTAACGAAATTTAGAACCAAATATACATCAGAGGGTGTTAAATATACATATCGATGTGGGTCGTACAAAATTTTTATCGTGCGCTGTGCAACTATCAGTAAAGTAATTGAGCATGACCGATGTCGATACATTTGAAATATCAAAATTCGGTAAACACGATCATAACAAATGAATGTTGCAACACGCGCTCCATCATCTATTCAAGACGATGTCAAAACGTACGTTGCTGCCGATCTTTCCGAAGCACAAATTCGACGTGCAGTTATAATTAATCACCGTCAATGGGCTGCACAATAACAAGTGAGAAGTTTGGTTGGTTATTATTACATAAAAGATCATTCGTCGTTATTTTTATTGGATGATTGCATGATTGGTCTATAGAATAAATGAATGTAATTAATCCGTTCTCTTTTCAATTATTTCATTTCAAAATTTGAAACCGTTCTTTCTTGCAGGATAAAAAATGTCGTCCTTCATAAATGAAAATCGTTCGTTTTTCGATCATAAAACCGTGCTCTTTTCGAGTTCTTTTATTCTGCTCTCTTTTAATTAAATACTTTGGCATAATTATCAAACTGTTCTCCATTCTATGCAAATTCCGTTCTCTATCCAGTCTTTTGATCTAGAAGTTCTGAAACATTCTCTTTTCTGTTTTTTTATTTTATAATTCTGACCATTCTCTAATCACTTCAAATTTGACTATAAATAGGCAAACGTTCTCTTTTTAGCCCAAATTCCATTCTCTACAAAAATCCTTGTCCCAATACAACAAACTATAAATTTCTTGACGCATTATATTCGGTTCTCTTCATTTAATTTTGATTAACGTATACACATCTGTTGCTTTTTTCTTTCTATACATTTTTTTTAATTAATGCACAGACACAGACACCAGCTGAGAAACTTTTTTGTGTTACATGTTAATAAGGAAAAAATGAATATTTTTAAATGAAAATTGAACTATTATTTATAGGGATGAAGCAAAACAAAGCGTCCAATGAAGCGTGTATTCATCATTGTAGTTGTAGTTCTTGGTTATTTAATGATAGAATTTCGAGAATTTTTATTTTTTCCAAAATTGATTATAAACAATCATTCCAAATATGATTATTATTTATGCACACAAGTGATGAATGAAGATATTTTTCTACCAGAATGGATAGATCATAATCTAAACGTTCTAGGATTCAAAAATATATGTTTAATCAATGTTGGAACACCAATTTCAATCAATATAACATCTAAATATGATTTGGCCTATATGATAAGCAATCATTCAGATCAAAATTTTAATTTATGTCGAACATGTTTCAATAAAACAATTCGAAATAATGATTTGTTATTTGTTCAAGATGTCGATCAATATTTAAATGTTCAAAATAATGATTATATCTACAAAAATTATGATCAATACGATGGATTTTATTTTAGTGACCTAAGATTTGGTTATATAAAAGAAAAAACAGAAGAAGTATGTTCTCTTTAATTTTATCTTAAGAGCAGCGGTAAATATCAGACACTTTGTTTATCCGGGATTGAATTTAAAGACCCCTCCCCCTCAGAAATTATCTCCGACACCGTACATCCGATTTTGGCCAAACTTTCCGTAAATGTTAGATTTAATGAGTTACGTGAATAAAAAACGTTTTTTTGTCTCCAGTCTTACGTGGACTGCTCAGCTAACGATCTCCTTTTTTCGCTCTTTTTCAAAAAGTTAGTGCAGTAAAGTTAAAAAATAATCGAAAATGGCAACTAGATAATTAAACAGATTAAATATTTCTCTACACGATGAAAAGTGTCTCGACTCTGAACGTTGATTCGTTATGAAAATACAGCTGTTGTATAAACAGCCTATCTAAAGAGCGTATCTGAAAGAGTGAAGACGAGCTGGCAAAAATTGAACAATTATACCAGTTTGTAGAAAATTGTTTGCTCGACAGGATGTGATAGCTTTTCAGGTTCGAAACTATTCTAATTAATCTGTATAAATCAAGAAAAAATCGTGACGCTGTGACACTTCTGACCTTTTTTTGTCACAGGGTCACGGTTTTTTCTGATTTTTCTTTGATTAATGCAGATTACTTAGAATAATTTCGAGTTTAAAAAGCTTGTAGGGCAAACAATTTTCTACAAACTGGTATACTTGTTCAATTTTCGCGTGCTCGTCTTCACTCTTTTAGACACATTTTTCCAATAACTCCAGAATCGATTTTTGGGGCTGTTTGTACGACGGCGGTATTTTCATAACGAATCAACGTTCAGAACCGAGATACTTTTCATCTTCTACAGAAATGTTTACTTAATTATTGGGAAGGTTAAAATACTGGTCAAAATCAAGACTTTTCGAGTTTGAAACTTCATACTGCTTCCCCTTTGGGGATATTGAAAGAGTTTCTCAAAAGGAGACATTTAGCTGGATAAGCCGTACGGTTTAGGAGTTTTCCAGTGATCAAGGTCCAAAAAGGACTCTGAAGTTCTTTCCAGGATTTTTTAATATACTTCAAGCTGGAGGATTTGTGTTTGCTTTATTTAAAACTACGTACCTAACTACATGGGCTGACAGGCGTCGATTTTTCGATTAAGCCTTTATTGGTTTCCAGGCACTCAACAATTCCCAAAATCTGAGAAATCCTTCCGGATTTTCAAGAAATTCTCAATTTGACTAAAAATGAAGACCTAATTCGAAAATCGGCGTAAGTCAGTCCATGTAGTTTCTTGACTCGTTTAAAGAGAAAAAGAATGAACACTCTATGGCAAACCTGTGATCAAGGTCCAAAACGACCTTGATCGTGGGAAACACTTCAGGTATAACTTCTATGTAGAGAAAACGTTGTATAAAATGCTCATTTTTAGGACTTGTGGGAAAACACTTGTAACTTTTTTGGGTTACACAAGTTGTACGAGATCTTATTTTGATAAGAATAGTTGCTCTACAAATCTGTGCATTCCGAAAAACATATAATCGCACAAGAATCCAGAAAAAAGGGACGGGCTCCAACGGTCTATGCACAAAGTTTTGCACAAACTGTCGAGCGCTGTTTCTTCATGTTCCCACTATTCTGGAGATGTCGTTTTCTTCCTTTTTTTGAAAGAGCAAAGTCTGAACTACAGAGTGTGCATCAAAAAAAGAATTTCTCGCGTAAAACTTTGAGAAAAAACTTCAAAAACGAAACATCACTAAAAATGTTTTGGTAAATTGTTAAAATGTTCGAAACTGTCCTTTTCTTATTTAAAGATAAGTTTGAAGAATGACTAATTATTAAATCTAAGAGTGTTTGAAATGCTCTTTCGACCAGCGTTAAATAGATTTTCTTTTTATTTGGTCTTCATGAAGAAGTAATCGCTTGTTCGATCACGGTTAGAAAATCAATTAGTTAGCATTAATTGCCAAAATTCGTGAATTAACAGATGAATTTTTTTTCAATTTATGAACTAAATCTTGATATTTATTCACTTTTTAACAATCTTATGTAAAATAAAAGCTAATCTCATTTACTTCCTGTTTTATGTGACGTCTCTGTTGAAAACTCTAAATGTTCAAAGATGTTGACTTTTAGAAACCGTTTCAGAAAGCCGCTAAATAGAAACTTGAAAATCTTTTAAGGAGATTAAATTGACAGAATTTTTCATGGGCTATTTTTTCATGTATTTGGTTTTCTTAAAAAGTGATTATTTTTGACACCAGTGAAAACATTTTCTTGAAATGTCTTCGTAGAATGTTTAACAGAACAATATTTAGTTTTGAGATATTGTTCCAAGAAAATTTTAGAAGAGAAAATTTTTTTTGGTGACGATTTTGTAGTTCGGGCTTTGTGCTTTCAAACAAACAAAAGGCGGAATCTCTAAAATAGTAGGAACATGAAGAAACAGCCGTCGGACTTCAGATGCCAAACTTATGCATAAACTACGAGCCATAAGTAATTGGAGCCATAAGTAATTGAAAATTTTTTGAACACACAATTCGAAAGCTCTTTAAATGTAGATTCTCAACAGACTTTTTTCATTTCTCCGAAATATATTTTATCACAAGAAAAATGGCGAGACATTTTGTCCAATTACTTATAACTCGTAGGTTAGGTCGTTAGTCTATGATCAATAATAATTGATACGTTTTTTACAAGCGATTTTCCACTTTTAGTTTTCTTTACTATCTACCAATGTCTATCGTCGCCCTTCTGATGGTTTAAATGAATATGATTCGACTGGACTGCGACAATTGTTCAATTGTTCTGTTCGTGGTGGATGGAATGCATGTGATCATGGTAGTGGAAAAACAATGATCAAATATGGTGTTATACAAAATTTAGGTGTACATTACCATGAGACAATAAAGAAAACAAATAAATTTTTACATGTTGACATGAAACAAATTAGATTAAATCATTATTATGTGAGATCAAAAGAAGACGGAATTTTGAAAGGAAATAAATGGCGTAAACTTGAATCAATGTTAGGAATAATTGATAAAAATAAGTTCTTTACCATGATTTACGATGATTCAATTCTTCGATCAAAACGTTTAATTTAACAGAATTGAATAAGCAAATTGTCAAACTTGGGCGAATATAACACGAATTTATTCGTGTGTGATCATGGTAGATTTAGCTCTCGTTAATTCTAAGAAATACTTTGCTAGAATAAATTGAACAATAATGTGGAATTTTTTTGATCAAACAATGATACCTTCTATTCTAGCGTACATAGATGAGAAAACATCAGGATATACATTTCAAAGTATGCGCTAAAAACTGGGAAAGTTTGGAGATCAAGCATGATACTTCGAAATTTTGCTTGTTTTTGTTGGAAACGGATGTTTGAAAACATCTTGTCGATACTTTCGCTTTAAGATAGATAGCATTTTGAAGCAAAAGTGTAGATGTTTAGAATCCAATTCTCTAGTCCATCAGAAGAGCTTTTTCTAAAATTCCCTTTTTTCGATTTTTAAACCCAAAGAGATCGTATATTTTAAAAGTTTAAAATTCGTAAAAGTAATTTTAATAATCAACAAAAAAGAATTTTGGAAAAACTCTTCTGAGAGACTAGAGAATTGGATTTTCAACGTCTATTCTGAACAGAAATGTGCGCCGCCGCCGAAGGCAGAAAAGAATTTAAGTGTACAGTTGCCCTACTGGCAACTGCTGTAACTGCCGTTTGATAGGACCGAGAAAACGCCTAAAGTGCCATATTCATCTGTTCCATTGCTTCCGCAATCGTTACCGATTGACAAAAAATTGAATGGTTTTGGCTGAGCGCTGTAGACCTTAACCTAATAAAATCTTATTCTATGTAAGCTGCGATAGATGGCTTGAGGGATCACGGCAGCTAAAACAACTGCAAAGATAACAACAGTCTAGCTACGTAAGAAATCATAAAAAGCGGTTTTGCCAAAAGTTGTACTTTATTCCGAAGGTAAAGCAAAAATTTTTTTTGACAAAGTCAGATTATAGAAGAAATATTTGTCATCTCTATGGAGCCTCTGTCAACTCTGTGCAATATGATAAGAAAGAGCGATGCATATTCTGTGAAGAACACTCCAAATTCTCATCACTCAAATACTCATCACGTCATTTTCTAAAAGTATCTTCTTTTTCTAGCGTAACCTCGGCACTGAATTCAATAAGTAAGAGCGACATGTTCTCCATCACGTCAGTCCGTAGTAACAGTGCTCCAGTATAGTCGGGTCGCCCTCGTTTACCCCACGCGAAAATAACATTCAGACACATCAAAATGTTCATCAGACGCTACTCTATGTATTCTAAAATCGCAAAATCTCGCATATTTTCCAAGGAGGTTTTATGGATTTTTCAAAATCCCAAGGGGTTTTCGCGTATTACACATTTTTCTCTCTCACCAAAGCACTTTTTCGCACAAATAATGCCATATTCGGGGTCACCGTGAAAAACTGCATCGAATGATGTATAGCTGTTTAATTTTTCTGCAGAAATATTTTCGATCAAATTGAATTATAGACTTGAAAGCTTGTCCGCAGCAGATTTTGCTTTGGAATTTGGATATTTATTTTAGCAATAGTACACAAGTCTATAAACACATTTTTTATAGATTTTCGAATATGATCTTTCGAATAGTGAGGTTCTCGAAATGGAAAAATATTTTTTATGGGTTTTCCAG